CAATAGATAAAGAAAAAGCCTTTGACAGGATACAGCATACATTTATGATCAAAACACTTAACAAAATTGGTATAGAAGCAAAGTACCTTAATGTAATAAAGGCCATATATGACAAGCCCTCAGCCAACAATACATTTAATGATGAAAAACTAAAAACCTTTCCTCTAAGATCAGGAAAAAGACAAAGCTGTCACCATCTCCACTGTTATTTAATATAACATTGGAGGCCCTAGCGAGTACAATCGGGCAAGTGAAAGATATAAAAGGCATCCAAATAGGAAATGAAGAAGTCAATCAGTCACTATTTGTGGATGACATCATTCTCTATATAGAAAACTCTAAAGACTCCACAAGAATACTACTAGAAAAAATAAGTAAATACAGTAAAATTTCTCGATACAAAATCCATAGCTTTCCTATACTCTAATAATGAATTATCAGAAAAAAAAAAGTGGAAAAAGAATTCCTTTTGCAACTGCAACAAAAAGAATAAAATATGTAGGAATAAATTTAACGAAACATGTGAAGGACCTTTATGATGAAAACTATAAGACCCTATTAAAAGAGACTGAAAAAGATATAAAGAAAAGGAAAGATATTCTGTATTCTTGGATTGGAAGAATCAACATAGTTAAAATGACCTTATTACCTAAAGCATTATACAGATTTAATGCAATCCCCATCAAAATCCCATTGGCATTTTTTAAAGAAATAGAACAAAAAATCATCAGATTTGTATGGAAGCACAAAAAACCCCGAATTGCCAAAGCCATCCAGAGAAAAAAGAACAAGTCTGAAGTCATCCCTCTGCCTGACTACAAAGCGACAATAATCAAAATGGCATGGTATTGGCAGATAAACAGACATAAAGATCAGTGGAACAGAACTGAGAGTCCAGAAGTAAACCCCCGTTTATATAGGCAAATAATTTTCAGCAAAAGAGCCAAAAACATAGTGGAGAAAGGAAAGCCTCTTCAATAAATGGTGCTGGGAAAACTGAAAAGTCACCTGCAAAAGAATGAAATTAGATTGTTGCCAACCACCACACATCAAAACTATCTTAAAATGGATTGAAGAGTTGAATGTAAGACCTGAAACAATAAATTGCACAGAAGAAAACATAGGAACTAAACTCACGGACCTTGGACTTAAAGAGGATTTCATGAATTTGACCTCAAAGGCAAGGGGAGTAAAAGCAGAAAGAAATGAATTGGACTACATCAAACTAAAAAGCTTCTGTTCAGTAAAAGAAATTGTCAACACGGTAAAGAGACAACCATCTCAATGGGAAAATATATTTGCAAGCAGCGCCTCTGAGAAATAATATTCAAAATATAAGAACTCATACGACTCAATAACAACAGAAAAACAAATGATCCAATCAAAGAATGGACAGAAAATCTGAACAGACACTTCTCCCTAGAGGGCATACAAATGGCCAATAAATATTTAAAAATATGTTCAACATCGCTAGTTATTAGGGAAACATAAATCAAAACCATGATGAGATGCCATCTCACACCTGCTAGAATAGTTATAATCACCAGGAGAAGGAATAACAAATGTTGGAGAGGATGCGGAGAAAAAGGAGCCCTCATACACTGCTGGTGGGATTGAAAATTGGTATAGCCACTATGCAAAACAGTACAGAGGGTCCTCGAAAAACTAAGAATTAATCTACCTTATGATCCAGCAATCCTTCTACCCCAAACACTTGAAACATTTGAAACACATGTCCAAAAAGATATTTGTACACTGACGTTCATAGCAGCGTTATTCACAGTGGCCAGGACATGGAAGCAACTGAAGTATCCCACAATAGATGATTGGG